GCAATCAAGAAAACTTTAGCTCGGTATCTTTTCCTTTGGAAAGCAGCAAATTCCCTTTTAATCTATTTTAAAATATTTTTAACACGCACAAAAAGATTCTTGTTCCCCTGTAATCAACTTACACAAAAAATAATATCCTGGTCCCTTTGAGATTTTTTTTTTTTCCTCCATGATTGTTGCTTACATCATTCTGGTTCCTCTTGATTTTATTACCTCATCTTAATAATAACAACTTTTAATTCTACCTTTCTTTTGAGGCTGATTATCTTTTAATGTATTTTTTTTTTTCCTTTGTAAAACCCACGCTGTTTTCCTTCTCTTGGTCACAACAATCCTTAGTCTTGTTTTGTGTGGTGCTTCTTATTTTTTCCCCTGATTTTACTTACTTTATATCTAAGAACCAACCTGTTCCATGCCTGGTATAAAGCTGTGGCCATCCCCTTGGTGTAACAGCGCTCTGACACACACCACTAGAACCTGCTGGGATGGTTGTGGGGTGGGCCAATCAAACAGAGTTGGTTTTGTTGTTCCTTTTGGGTCCTGTTGGACACTTTCTCCTCTGGGAAGTCTTTAACAGCCTGGCCTTGCTCACAGTTTTTCCCCATAGCTCCTGAGAAGACAGCAGAGATGTCCCAGCGTGGCACTGCAGAGATCCCTGCTGAGCACCTCAATTTTTCTCTTTCATTCCAAGCTTTCGGTTCAGAGAGACTCTGAAAAAAACATTCAGCCTGTTTTCTCAGCAAGCTGGGTGTTGTTTGCATGCTCCTTCTGGTTTTTAACGTGGCCTTGTTACCCCACAGGTGTTGTACAAAGAGGAGCTGGGGACAGGAACCCCCATACCTGTCACTCCTGAGGTGGAGAGAGTCAAACGCAACCAAGAACACATTAGCTCGGTATTTTGGGGAGGAGCAGCCACATTCCCTTTAACTCCACTCAAACAGCACTTCTTTAACCTCTGTGAAAAATGCACAAGCCCCCTCCTTGCTTCCATGTAATCAACTTATAAAAGCATCCCTCCTTCTTCACTGTACTGTATTTCTCCAGCGTTCCTGACCTAACACTTCTTCATATGTATAATTATTCACATGATCCTAAATATTTTTAACCATTTTGCTCCCTTTTCCAACTTCCTTTCTCTTTTTTTTATGTGTGTTGGGTTTTCTCAATCCTACCAGTTTCCTGTTTTAATGCTGTTATCATAGAAGAGGGAGGGTCTGACTTTCTCACAGGCTTCAGTGGTACTCTAGAAGCTTCTCTCCACCCTGAGAACTTATTGTTTGATGTAAGAGGGTTCTGTGCTGGATTTGCCACCCCTACTGAGATTAAACCATAGACCTCTTTGCCCTCAAACCCTCCCGGGTGAAATCCTGCCCTCCTTGCCTCCAGGGGTAGCTTTTGGGGCACGTGAAAGCAGTCTGAGCTCCAGCAGGCTCAGCTATTTGCCTGGATGTTGGATGTGATGATCATTGAGTTGTGATTGTGTTCTTGGCTGCTTTTTGTTGCCACACAGGTGTTGTACAAGGAGAGTGTGGGGACAGGAACCCCCACCCCAGTCACCCCAGAGATGGAGAGGGTCAAACGCAATCAAGAGATCTGTAGCTCGGTACTTTGCTAAGACAAAAAAGTTCCATTTAACTCGGTTTAAAAGAATATTTTTAACAGTTTTAATAAACGGGTGTGGTAACACAAAAATAACACAGCCCTCAGCCCTAAGGCAGCTGACTTTGTACTCCTGGTTTACAGTGGTGACTTGTTTTCTTGGTTCTTCAGTGGTTTTAATGCCCTCTTCTAATCCTAAAAACACTTAACTCCACTCATTTTCCTCTGCAGTGCTGACTTTTTATCTTTTAATGATCATTTACCTATTCTTAACATCCTCAGCCCTCCATAGGGTACTTCTGTGGTCTCATTTCTGTTCTACTCACACTATTGATGACGAGTTAAAAAGCCAGTGTGCCAAACCCTCCTTCTCTAGCAATATATTGCTTTAAAAAAAATATAGAATATACATCTGGAGAAAAGAAACACCAGAAGAAAAAGCCTTGGGCTCGACTTGTGTTTGCAGACAGCTTTTTATTTACTCTTGCTCTCTTTGGCTCCTTCTTTCTGTCTCATAGGTGTTGTATAAAGAGAACATAGGGAAAGCCACCCCCACCCCTGTCACTCCCGAGATGGAGAGAGTCAAACGCAATCAAGAAATCATTAGCTCGGTATTTTGCACAGGAAACTCCTTTCCTAAAGAGCTGAATGAAGCGTTTAACGGGCTTGCTAACTTCACAAAAAGAGGCTGCCTCGGAGCATAAACCTCGGTGCTCACACACAACCTTCTGTTTAACACGGTCTGAGGCAGGGCTCGGCTCCAGCTAGGTTTGCTTTGGGGTGGGGTTTTTTTTTGGATGGATATTGATTTTCTGCCTTTTTTTTTTTTAATTTTAACCCTTCCTTACTACAAGCTTGTGTCTGTTGATTCCATACAGGCAGATTAAAGGCAAAGCTGGTGTTGCTTCTTCAGGGACCAGCACTCTGCCCCAGATCTAACCCTTTCTAAAGCTGTATTTTACTTGGCTTTCATTTTGTGGGTGTTTTTTTTTGATTTTGTGGTTATTTTGGTTTGGTTTTTTTTTTCCTTTTCTTGGCTGTGCCTTTATAATGGATACTCCCTTGTATCCTGTAGGTTTTGTACAAAGAAAATGTGGGGAAAGTGACCCCAACACCAATCACTCCAGAGATGGAGAGAGTCAAACGCAATCAAGAAATCATTAGCTCGGTACCTTAAAAACAGATATATTTATCTTAACTTTGTGCTTTTATCTTACTCAAGTTAACATTCTAACTACCTACTGAAAGTTGATTTTGAGTTTTAAAAATATATATATATTTGTTTCTGCAAATTAATCGTCCCTCCAATAAAATGAGCTTAGTGTTAACAGCCTGAGCCAGGCACTTACTTAGGCCTTTTCTACAGCTCTGTCTGTGCACCTCTGGGCTCTATCCAGACAACCTCAAGAGCTTAGCATCCCTTGGTGAGGACATTCAGCTTTGTCTCTTGTTTAAGCTTTTCAGGGGTATTTGGCTTTAGTGAAGAACAAACAAACAAGGAACTTGAGCACCCCACTTGGAAAAAGCCACATCTGGGACCCACGTGAGAGTGGGTTGCTGTGACAGGTGACTTTATGATCCCTGAAATGGGCTGACCCAAAAGGAACAAGACTGTTCCTGTTCTGGGTGGCCCATCAGTGGTGGCTTCATGGACAGAGGAGAGGTGTAGGTGTAGCAGTGCAGTGACACCAGCCACCCAGCCTCAACACCCTTCTTTATTTAGCTGCCCAACGTCAGCGTGGCAACAAAACTCCCTCCTCCCCCCAAAAAAGGGCACAAATGGCTTCAAATACAGACAGCACAGCAGGTAAAGCATTTCTGAAGTAGTTCTCTAGGGCCAGGAGGAGCTTCCTTGAACCCAGGGAGAGGTCATCATAGCTGCAGCTGGATAGAGCCCATCTTTTTTAACCAGCAAAATAACAAGCTGGCCTTTTCTAGTTTCCCTGGCCTCCCCATCCTCACAGCAGCAGATGTTTGGCTTTTGTGCAGTGCTCCTTGGCATCATCAGCCCTGACTTGTCTGAGATTGGATAACAACGTAACACTTTGTGTTCAGATCCTTTTGCTTTCGGGGGTTCTTTTTTTTTTTTTTAAGATCCCAGACACATCTTCTGTACCCCACAGGTGTTGTACAAAGAAAACCTGGGGCGAGCAACCCCCACCCCAATCACTCCAGAGATGGAGAGAGTCAAACGCAATCAAGAACACATTAGCTCGGTATTGTCTGGAAGAAATCAAGGGGATATAACAGAGCACTTCTTTTTTTAATAACTTTACACTGCCTGGTTTTCTTTAACACTGATTTTTCACCCCCAAAATAGAAAGTAATCTTTTAAAATTCTAGTATTTAAAAGGTTTTGTTTTTGGTGTTTTTTTTTTTCCCGATTAACTTTTTAATACCATTATTCCTCTGAGCTTTGTTTTTCCTTTGGTAACGAGTGGTGTTGACCCTAAACCCAGTAACAGGATGGTTTTGAGTTGGTGCAGCTGTGACTCTGAGTTACTCTGTGATCTGTAGGTTGTGTACAGAGAAGGCTTAGGGAAGGCAACGCCCACGCCGGTCACTCCAGAGATGGAGAGGGTCAAACGCAATCAAGAACACATTAGCTCGGTACTGAAAGCAGACAGACAACCCCCTAATACCAAAAATAACCATTCTGAACCAAAGCTCCACTTCTAATTCAGCCTTATTTTCTCTGTTTTCCTTAGTTTTGCCTATTTCTCCCTTTGATTCTTACCTTTTACTCTGGCCAATAACTCTCTAGATGCTTTACTTCCCAAGATCTTTTCTCCCCCCTGCAGAGATGAATATGCTTAAACCATAACACCAGTTAAACAGGAGCCAGGGACTGGCCCAGTCTGACCTGTGGACCCCTTGTCTGTACACTGCAGGTCCTGTACAAGGAGCAGCTGGCAAAAGGAACCCCAACACCACTGACCCCAGAGATGGAGAGAGCGAAACGCAACCAGGAGAACATCAGCTCGGTAAGTTCTGGTCTGCCAGGAAAGGAAAACCTGTTAAAAAGTGACATTTCCATTCCTGAACCAGCAGTGCAGAGGTGAACACAACCACCTGGCTGCCCAGCTTGGAAATGTGAAGCTGGTTTTACTGGTCTTAAACTGCATGACTGTATGTGTCTTATACCATATGTCGGAGGGGCTGGAGCGTGGCCAGAGAAGGGCAACGAAGCTGCTGGGGAAGGGTCTAGAGGCCAAGTGTGGTGAGGAGCAGCTGAGGGAGCTGGGGGTGCTGAGCCTGGAGCAAAGGAGGCTCAGGGGAGACCTTCTGGCTCTGC